GGGCGCCACGCTTGCGTCGAGCGTTTGGACGCCAACCCCGCGCGCGAGGCTTGGTGCCCGGATGTGAGCCTCGCTTCCGGGCGCTGCTTCCCTGGGGCCCCGCTTAGGGCGTGCGTTCCTGGGCCTCGAGGGAAGGAGTTGGGGAGGGGGCCCCCGGCGCCCCCAGTGGGGAAAACTGGTGCGCAGAGTGCAGAATTCGTTCGCAAGCGAGCGCCCTGGTGGGGTGAGGAATGTGAGGAGACACGGGAGTGAGGGCCCTTGATTGCCGTGCGGACGGCGCGCACTTCGGGCAGGTGCCTCCTGGCCGCCCTCCGGGCCCGCAGCGCAGAGGGCCATGCTGATCAGAGGGCGTCGGCGGACAAGTGGCCGCCACCGTCACCTCAGGACCCCGGCAGCCCGAAGGCGACAAACCCGAAGGCTACATGCACTTTATCCGCGGCAGGGAGCTCCTAAGCGAGAGTCGCCGACCAGGGCATGGACCTGGGACCCTGTCCGTGGCTCAGGCTCCCGAAGACCAGACCATAGCCTTGGAGTACTCCCTGGCTGGGGCTGCAGAGGGTCGGGGTGGCGGGGTGGGAGGCTCGACGGCTAAGCGACTGTGAGTCTTGAATTCTCAGACATCACAGTCGATGAGATTAGACAGTGACGGTGGAACGACAGAACCACGCCGAGACAGACACACTCTGCGAGTTGGGACACTGAATCGCTTTCCTTGTTCTACCCCAAAGCTTCGTCCTGTGACAATGCACGCCTTCTGCTCGAGAGGGTTTGGGGAAATTAAGTTTCTCGGGACCCTTTCATCCCCGTTATGTGGACTCAGGGAGGAAAGCAGACAATAACAGCAACCGAAACACCTGCGATCTCTCAATACAATAAAATATGGACGGTGATTGGAGTCATTTCTCCTTCCGCTTCCAGAGGGAGCTCAAACCTGAAGCTTCAAGGTTATCCTTCTCCTAAGTGTAAACAGTATACTCGCAAAACCAGCTAGGGACACCACCGCCCGCACCTGGAGGGGGTTCCCCTTTGCAAACAGAAAACGCGATCTGATTTTTTTTTTTCATTGTCATGTTCATGTGAACCTAAGCTGGGGACTTGCGTAGTGTAATACATTCCTCTGGCTCTCTGGAGACTAAAGTAGAACTGAGCGAGGGAAATCAGGTGAGGGAAAGGGAAGGCGCTGAGCAGAGAGAGAGTGGCGGGCAGAAGTCCGGGTGGGTGGTGAGCAGGGGCGGCTGGGACACGCGGCGGGACCCAGACGCACGCGGGTGAGTCCCCGAACGCCCGGCCCCAAGGCTCTGGCCCCCACAGAAATACGGCCACGTGCTGGGGCTGCTGTGCTCTGGCTCTGCGATTCCGGGCCATCTACAAGAACGCGCGCGCGCGCGCGAACACACACACACACACACACACACACACACACACACACACACACACCGGCGCCTGCCCCTCACTCCTGGCGCTGGGGTATCTCAGAGGCTGTCCAGACAGCGGAACCCCGTGAGTTCCAGCCGAGCACCACCACTTGACCATTTCACTCTCGCTGGTGTGGCTCTAGCCAGGGCTGGAGGGCAGACGAAGGTGCCTGTCTAGTGGGGCTCCATCCCCGCGCTGGGGAAGAGCTGATAAAGTGTCAGAGCCCGGGGAGGGGCGACGTCCTCCCTGGCTCAGGGCTCCTCTTCGCCATTAGGTCCGGTCACCTGTCATCCCGAGCTTGCCAGGTCCTCCTGCCCCGCTCTCTGCGACCATGCGACAACACCCTGCCAGCCGGAGCTGCGCGCCCTGGTGGCTCCCGGGTGCCCCAACCCTGAGCGCCAGGGCTCACACCTCACTGAAGCCTCTATCTAAACAGCACCGGTGTCACTTTACTGGCCTCCTGATCCCGGTCTTATCCTCCCACCCAGCAGTGACTCGCCGGTATTTGGGGTGGTTGTTGTTCTTCTAAAAGTATATTAAAGGATCATTGGCGTCTCCCCGTCAAGTCATTACGCCTTTATCCCCATCAATTAACCACACCTCACAGGGCTGCTATTAAGAGCTAAATTGAGCTGCAAAAGTGGGTATCCCGTTTCAGGCAGATGTTGTCAACTCCTGCTGAGATAAGCGGCCGGCGGGACCCGACCGCAGCTGCCGCAGCTGCCAGAGCTGTGCTGGACCTGGCTAAGGACTGTGGTCGCGGGGCTGGAAGGGAGGCCCCTCCTGACGTCTAGTTGGTGCTCCAGGAGCCAGGAGGAGAGAGGAGGGCCCTAGCTCTCGAATCTCAACTGCTGTGCACATCAAGGAGAAGTGTCTCCAGAGTTATGCCAGGGGAAACGCCAAGAGCGAGCCGTGCGTCTTTGCGCAGGAAAGTAAAGTGGAGAGTATTTCGAAATGCCCTAGCAACCTGCCGGAGATCCAGAAGGGAGACCGGGGAGGTATGGGAAGAGGGCAAAGAAGTGACTTTCCCTGGCAACCCTCCAGCGACACACCCCACTTCCTCTTCCCTCCACTCCAGCCTCCTTCCTCCCTGATAGCAGGCCCCCAGAACCCCTTGTGGAGGAAGGCGCGGTGCTGTGGAGACACTGGATATGGAGCTAGGGAATCCTAGACAGAAACGTGGCGTTTTAGGACAAAGAAGATTCACCAGAGATCGCCACGGCCTTCTGCCTAGATGTGACTTTCCACTCCCTCTCACCACATATCACTCCTGAGGACTTGGAGCAGGGCTGTGGCACGCAACTGGGAAACCCTGGAGGGCCGAGATAAGGAGGGAGCAAGGAGACGTGGCCCCCGCTGCAGTTACAGGGCTTTTCCTCCCAATAGTGGCCCCAATAAATTTAGCCAAGGCTAAAGGAGATTAATTTCCCAGCATAATCCAATTAAAAGATTTCTAAAGTAATCTTTTACGAAAAAAAAATGCGCGGCTAAAGAGGGGACTGGTTTTGATGACAGTGATTTATCGCTTCAGCACAGTATGCGCTGGTCACTCGCTATCCTGCATGCGATTTGACCAGAGCATCCCGTCGGTGCCTCCAGCCCAAACCTTCGCCTTTCTGAAAGACAGCCATCCATCACGCCAACCTGAGCAGGAGAAAAAGTGCAAGGGGCTGGGGTTGCCTACAAGCACCAAAGACTTTTTAAAGTGCTATTAGATTTATGGTCTCTTTTTCGACGCCCATCTAGAGTAATTAGCACATATGTTCTAAATAGATGATAGTTTTGTGAGCAATAAAGCAATTACCCATCGTTGGAGCTGACAGTTCCTCCAACTAAACTCCAACCAGCAGCTAATTGGAAAAGTCATTTCAGCTCCATTGTCTGCAATTAGTCCTGCTAAACTACTACACCCTAACTAGCTGGTTTGAGGTTAATTTATTCAGTGTTTTATTTGCACAGACGAACCATTGCCATGCAGGGACTTGCCTTTTGCCCCTCCGGACTGCGCCCTGGGACCAGAAGAGCAGGTGGGAGTGAGAGGCCAATATTTTGGAACCAGGATGGTTCCCAGGGGAGGGAGCGCGGGGCCTGGCTTCAGCTTCAAGGTCAGTGTCCAGGGCGCTAAGCGCCCTGGGACAGAAAAAGCCATTGTTTCTCCTGCTGGGCAGTAACCAGGGGAAAAAAAACTGCTCAGTTCTCAGTTTGTGCCACCAAAACCTTAGTGTAAAAGAAAAAAAAATCAGCATAGAGGAGCAACTGGGTTCTGAGTACATCCTTCCTGCTGCACTCCCAATCGTGACCCTGGGCCACTGAGATGTCTCTAAGGCGTAAAAGTAGACTCAGACATGCCAAAACAGCAGAATTCCGAGCCCACAGCCTGGAGAGGGAGCTTCCAATTCTTGGAGTGGTTCAGAAAATGAAAAGACTAGAAAGGTCAGGAAGCCCTGCTTCTGCCTTCAGCCTCTCCCAGCACAGCCACTGTCCCCTTAAAACTAGGTTTTCTCTGTGAATTTCTTTCTTTGCTTTTTCTTTTCATTTTTTCCCTTCTTTCTTTCCTTGTCTTTTTTCTTCTTTTCTTTCTAAAGTTAAGCCAAACAGGTCCAAGATTTGTGCACAGTGAGTGGAAAAAATGTGTTAAACGATGGTTTGACGCCCCGCCGAAGCTTCCAAACATCCAGCGGCTGGGATTCTTCTACTTAATTTAATCTTTATTGGACAGGGCAGCTCCTACGCTCCTATTCACCAGGAAACCCCGGGAAACGGATTCGTTGGGGTTCAGAATTGAGGGCGGGAAGGAGAGGAGTTAAAGAGGGATTAATCCTC